GCGGCCAGCCGGGGCTGGCAGGCAGGCAGGCGGGCGGGCCTGCGGGCGAGGCGAGCGGCACCGCGCCGGACCCGAGCTTGGAGTCCTCGCCGAGCGGCGCAGCGCCAGCGCCGAGAGAGCCAGTCCCAGTCGAGTTCAGTTCGCCGCCGAGCGCCGTCGCGAGCAGTCGAGCCAACCCGTTACTCCCGCCGTTACACCGCGCGCTCCCAACCCCGCTCCACGTCTGCGAACGCGCTCGCCGGCGACGAACTGAAGCTCGCGTTGTGAACGCCTGCTCGAGTGTCAGTCAGTCTGTGTGCGTGTGCGTGTGTGTGTGTGTGTGTGTTCTCTGACCTGTGAAGTGTCCGAGTGATTGTCTGAGTGAGAGTGTGTGTGCGTGAAAGTGAACTTGTGCACAACTGAGGACGTCACCCGGATCAGGATGAAGTTCTCCGTTCAGCACGCGGTGCTCTCGACGCTCTCCGTGTTTGCCGGTGAGTGACTTTCAATGAATGAAGCAGCGGGTGAATGGAGCCTGGGGATCTGCAGCTTCTGCACCGCCCCGCCCCCCTGTGTCCCCCACGGCCTCGCACTTACACTGCTGCTGTCGGTGCGGCCCGGTCCGGCCTCACAGTGTGTCGAAAGCGTCCCCCGGCTATTTCTGTCGGCCGAGGTGCGTTTCTCTGCCCAGGTGCATTCTGGCAACAACGACACCGGCGGCGGCGGCTCTGCGATAGTCGGCGCTGCAATAATTGTCAAGTAATAAAAGAGGAGCGCAAACGGTGCGCGAGTATTCCCATCGTTAAGCCGCGTCCTGGCTGCCGCTGCCGCCCGCCGCCGCCGTCCGCAGGTAGACGCGCCCACCACCTGCATCTCTTAGGTTATTGAATGACGGAAAGTCATTATGCTGGAGTGTCAAACGGCCCGTGTTGCTCCAGCCCGCCGAGGTGGCCTTGCCGTCATCGGCGGCCGTATCAGCTGACTGGCTGACGGGGTGCTGCGCTGCGCGCGCTGCGCTCTAGCTGGTTCTAGCAGCGCTCTCAGCCCAGTGGCGCAGTAAGGTCCGGCTGACAGAGAAGGGCGATGCACTGTCGGTTGCCTACATACAGGGCTCTCTAGAGACGACAAGGTGGGCGACCGCCCCCCCCCCCCCCCCTCGCCCCATCTTAATCCGCGCCTGTCTCAGCCGGTGCCGTTGAAGGAATGAAGTTCTTGCGCCGCGAGTCACGGTCGGCGCAGTGCGCTCAGGCTGCGCTGCTCAGTGATCGATGAGCTGCCGGCGGCCTCCTCTGCTCTCCCCAGGTGCGCCCCGGCCCGGCCGACCTCGGGGCCACTTATTGCTTACATGTCATCATGCCAAGTCCAGCCGATGCCCCCCGCGCGCGACCTCTTTCTTCTTATATTATTTTGCTCTTCACTGTTTTGTTTGTTTCTTTCACAATAATTTATTTCCTCTCGATTTTTGTCCGTTTGCGAAATCCCTTTTCGCACACCGCTGACGGCAATTTATTCTGCGCGATTAGGTGTCAGGGCGTCAGGGCCCGGCGGGCAGAGCCGCTCGACCAGTTTTCAGTTTCAGTTTTCAGTTTTCAGGCGCGCGGAGCGCGCATTTATTATCTTTGTGCAATTATGGTACAGCTGGTGTTCGTCACCCGAGGTGACCACGGTACATTGTTCACCATAGCCTATCTGGTAGGCGGCCTTAACAATTAACATGGGTAGTAGGATTAATTTACAGCATGGGAGCAGCAGTGCTGCAGCGGGTGATTTCACATGTGCCTGCGGGGGAAAAAGAGAGCGTTTATGATGCCCCAAAAACCCCGCCTCGAGTTAGCTTATAATATAGAGATATTTACAAATGTGCAGGGGTGATATTTACAAATTTACAAATTTACAACAGTAGGACCCCCATATGGGGTCTGCCAGCCCACAATAGGCAGACAGGGGGTGCCGT